TTCCTTTCATAGTGAGGTTATAAGTGATGAAACACTCTTTTTCAGTTCAGTGCACATTTTTATCTTATGATTAAAATATTAACTGCTGTGTAATTACACTTATAGTTAACATTTATGATTATCTAGGAAATGGCACCTTCCCTCTGAGTTTGTATAACAGGATCTTTCTTGGCCCACGTCCCATCCTGTCTGTAAATTTTGTGGAAATCCGTCCTGTAGTTTTTGTGTAATCCAGCTGACAAACAAAGGGACAGGGGTGAAAACATAACCTCCGTGGCGAAGGTATGAAATCATTTAAAAAAACAATGTGCTACAGACTGACGCTCTCACGCTGCTGTGACCTAAATGATTTTTCTCTGTAAAAATAGCCAGAAGCAGAGGTTATAAGGAAATTTGCTCAATTAAATTGCAGCTGCCTCATCAAAATCCTTCAGTTTTTTCCAACTCTGAAGAAGAGGATCATCTTTCCTTTTTATTCTTCATCTGTGAAGCAGCAGTAATTAACTTGATTGTCTTCAGCCCTCTGACTTCAGGGGAACAAGAGACGAGACCAAAGAAAAGACAGATTCCTGTGATTCTTTATTAAACCTCCTCTGGATTAAACTCTTTATTGGCTAAATTTCTTTCCCAGGGACAACTGGATAAAAACACATAGAGGAGAGAACAGCGGTAAATGATCGGAATGCTTCTCTCATTATTAAACCACCACGGTCAGACATAACATATAAGCCTACAAACAACACAGATGTTTTTACTGTGACGTTTCAAACAGGCTGATCCACACTGGTCTGTTTTTTGCTATTTCATTGATTATTGATGTATTTATAGGTGATTTGATGCCGTTCTGAATCTGAAACATGGTTTTACGAAACTTTAACTTCAAGTTTCTCTGTTTCCCAAGTGTTTAAAAGCACAATTACAATCTGGATACAGTTGTGATGAAGGATATTGTCTGTAAACAGTAAGAGTTGAGATGACAAGTGCTATAGATCAACACTGTTCATGTTCTGTTGTCCTGCAGGAGGAATACAGGGCCGAGGGCATCAGCTGGCGAAACATCGACTACATTGACAACACAGGCTGCATCTACCTGATCAGCAAGAAGCCCACAGCTCTGTTCCACCTCCTGGACGAAGAGTGCAAGTGAGTCTGATACAGTTTGGTCCACTCCTTCATTTCCTCGATAATTCATCTCATTTTCCTTTAGGGTTAAACCATCGAGTTCTTCTGGCGGCGTAACGCAAAAGCACAGCTGGCACAGTTGTTTACTAGAGCTTGACTATTCTGGTACCAAAATGTTCAACACCAGGATATTGTAGGATAAATATTTAATAATAAATAATTTTGGCAATGATTCCTATAGATGTCATCATCAAACCCTTATTACAAAGAAACTAAAATCAGCTATTATAATTAAATATGTTATAGTTTTTTATAAATATATCATTACACATTGTGATAATTATAATTAATTAAGTACAGCCAAATATATTAAATATCTGTTCTACTCTATAAAATAAAAATATAAAGGTTTTCATAGTGGTAAACAAAAACGCAAATACAAATATTGTCGGGCTCCAATTTTAAACCCATGAGCCACTGAGAATAAGAAGTTTTCCCAAACTGTAGAAACTTGCAGCTCGATTGCTCCACAGATGTTTTGGTTCACGGCACGGCCCCGAATTTCTGAGGAACCAAGTGATGAGCCGGAGAAGACAGACGAGTTCTAAGCACCAGAACAGCAGCATAGAGAACACAGGAGAATGTATATTTGTCATTCATCCACTTCAAATAAACCGAAGCTCCCACTATCTCGTCTAGTCTTCTGTACATCCGCTTATATAATCTCTGAAATGTGATGACCCTACCATCCTTAAATTGCCTGAAATGTAAACCCAGTAAAATGGAAAGTCCTTTTCAGGTTCTCGACTGGGCTGCGACTATTTTTACCAAGCCATATTTCCTTCTTTATTTCCCCCTCTTCTCTGTTTGGACACCGAATCAAATTCCTCCCACTCGGAAAAGCTGGAGAGCTCTGAATCTTTGGCCGTGTTGTTTTCATAGCTCAGATTTCACCCTGTTCCAAAGCCCCTGGTGTCCCGCTCTTCCCCTCCGCTCTTCCTGTACGCTGTTGATTTTCTGCAGAATTGCTATTAAAGGACAGGGGGAGAAATCTGAGCCCAGATCGCCTAAAAATGATCATTCTGGACCTGTGGTGTCAGAGGATGAAAATGTCAGAGCGACTCACAGAGCAGATCATTTGACTTGCCACGTTTCCAGTGGTCCAGCGGGTTGTAGTTACAGTTGTTGTGACTGGATAAGAGACGAGTGGAAAAAGAAAAGTCTTCAATTCATTATGTTTCATTTGGGTTCAACAGCTCAGGAACGTGATGAACACTTTCAGTGTGATTTACGCTGCAGTCTTCATGACGTCATCGACAACTTTAAACAAGTGCATCAACGCAGTGATTTCCTGGCCGAGCTCCTCGCTTCGTGTGTTTTCATTTTAAAAACAGATGTAAAAAAAAAAAAAATGCTTTGTTCTTCAAATCAAACTTTTCTGTTGACTTTTATTTCAGTTTCCCTCAAGCCACCAACCAGACTCTGTTGGATAAGTTCAAACGGCAGCATGAGGGCAACAGCTACATCGAGTTCCCTGCCGTCATGGAGTCCGCCTTCATCATCCGACACTATGCTGGCAAGGTCAAGTACGGTGTCAAGGTCAGTGTCACTGATTAGGAAGAAAGAGAGGAGGAGGTGCAGCCATAGACTGAGTATGAAAACGGACAAAGAGGGCGGGTCCGGAAAGTGAAGCCAGTGCAGAAGTACCTGCAATCAGTATCCTCTCAAATGACCAGCAGAGGGCGACTCCACTGGTTATGAAAAGAAGTCGGTTTCCTTCTTGTTTGTTACGTTAGGAGGACGTTCAGTTCTCAGTCAGGCTCCACCCCCTGCTCCTCTAAATAAAGTTACCTCAAATAACCAAGATGGCTGCAAAACGTCAGCTCACAAACCACAATGGGTGACGTCACAGTGGTTTGACACTTTGCAACCGATCTCAACTTTGTTTTCTGGACTCGTTGAGTTTTCGTTGTTGAAGTTTGTTTTTCTTTAAGCAAATAATGGCATCGAATCCTATTTTATATGTAATGCAGGATTTCAGGGAGAAGAACACCGACCACATGCGCCCGGACATCGTCGCTTTGCTAAAGAGCAGCAAGAACGCCTTCATCTGCGGGCTGATCGGCATCGACCCGTCCGCCACGTTCCGCTGGGCGGTACTGCGAGCGTACTTCAGAGCCCTGGTGGCTTTTAGAGAAGCTGGAAAGAGACACACGCAGAAGAAGACTGGTGAGCTCCCACACTGATGGAAACTCTTCTTACATGCTGTAGAGGTCGTCTCACCTGGACGTAGAAAGTTTCCTGATTCTCACATTTAGTCGCCATCGTGTCGTCTATTCTGTTTAGCTTTATCTGCCATATTCTATGTTCCATCAGTCAGTAGTAGTTTGTGTGTATAGTGCTCGTAGTAACGCTGTGTTTTTACAGTAGCTGTTTACTGTCTCAGCTTTGGCTTTTATACGAATGCCTTCTTTTCTCTTAGACGTTGCTCCTGCCGTCCTTGATATGCAGTAAATTTTACAGATGTTCTCTCAGAGCTGCTGTCGTAGGAATCAGACTCTGCATCCTCTTTATCTTTCCTTCAGTTTTAAATGCAGATGTTGTTGTGTGAAAATAGATTTTGTTGAAATCTTGCTTTTTTCCTTTATCTTTTAGAAATCCTTTAGATATCAGTGTCACCCAAAGCGAACCTGTTACATGTCTTCAAAATAAGCCGAGTTAATTAATAAGTAGTCTTTCATTTCTTTTCTTTTTTTGTAAATAATTGGAGAAGTTGTGAGATAAATCACCTTCACTAACAGCCTCACTCTAGAAGAATATGGTGACAGAAAAACCTCTTGAAGACATTGTGAGGAAAAGCCTTTGGGGGACAAATACCTTCACACAGAGTCACAATGACAAACATCCTGCTGCTGCCTCCAACTGCAGTTTTGAATGTTGATCATTTTCTCTCCAGACGTCTTGCACAGGTTTTCTCTCCGGTAGACGACTGCATCTCTTGATCTCTTCTTCTTCGCTGTCTAATCTGTCGTTTCTTTCTCTCTCTCCTCTTTCCCCCCCTTCTGTGTTTTTTGTTTTTCTCTCTTCCCTGTTTTTTTTCTTTTTGTTTTTGCTTCTCCAAGGGCATGATGACGCTGCTCCCTGCGCAGTTTTGAAAAGTGTGGATAGTTTTAGCTTTCTGCAGCACCCTGTGCATCAGAGAAGCTTAGAGATCCTGCAGAGATGCAAAGAGGAGAAGCACAGTAAGGCTGCCAATACGAGAATGACTCCCTCCGACTTAAAACCATCACTCGGGGGAAACTGTAGGGATGAGGCTGACCAGCATCAGCAACTTCACTGAACCAAACTCATTACAAAACATAAAGAGACGTGTTTGCACAAATTGCATATGTTTCGTCACAAGTTTTTTATTTCAAAAGACTTGATGCTTGTTGGTCTCCACTCCCTCCGGCCTCCTCCTCCCCCCTCTCTTGTTCACCTGCATGCATTTGTTCTTAGTCTTGTCTTGCACGTTGTCCACTAGCATGCTTCATCCATTCTGTCACTAACACTGTGCTGGTAAAAGGCTCCGCAGAGTTTTGCATGCTTGCATTGCTTTATCAGCTAACTTTGTCTGTTGGAAAAAAAAAAACACAGTAACACCTCCAGGTGCCCGACACATGCTTCTGTGTCCACTCCTGTCTTTTGGGCGGTGGTGGGTATAATTGCTTGTCCACCTCAGCATACTTCTAAAAATCAACCACCTTCTCCTGTCACTAACACCACACAGGCTGGTGGTGGTGAGAGAAGACTGAGGGAAGGGTATGATGAGATGTGTATTATCACTAACGTGTTCACAGGCAGCTCTATATGTGGTGCAGGACACACACTCATTTCATCACACTCTCATGTGTTTGTGTCTTTTTGTTGTGTGCCGCCCTGCAGCTCCAGGTGAGAGTGAAAATACAAAGTGTTGAAACTCCAGTAGCTCGTTACGCCGTAAACTCTCCTTTAGTTCCTTTAATTACATTTCTAAAAGATTTGTCATGAAAGATTCCCCTCATGTCCTTCAAATCACTTGGATGTAACTTTACACTTTCCTTCCTCATATTATGATGAGAGCTCTGAATCTATAATCTATGAATGAATGATGGTTCCTCAATTTGATTTGTGTAGCGTCATCATAATATGCTTAATGATAGTGAAACCCGACAGTCAGCGGTGGAGGAAGTAGTCAAAAATTTAACTTCACAAAAGTACAAATAAATGGACAAAAATGTAAAAGTTAAAGTACCACATTAACTTTTCTTGAGTAAGTACTTACTGAGTGCGGCCTATTTCCTCATGCAACAGTCATGTTAAGAGTATTGCTCTTATTGTAATTACCCTCAATCACGCTCTGATTGGATAATTGGACCCATTTTCCTCTCGTTATTGATTAACATATATATATTTCAATTATGTGAACATGTAACACAATACTTAATAACAGTGTAGAAAGTTGTTCAACATGATAGCAGCTGAAGGCGTATCTGTTCCAAAACCCCAGCCACCGCACTGTAATAATTAATTAAACCCTTTCTGCTCAGAGTTTCTCCTAAAAGCTATTTGTACAAGATGGGGTGTTTTTTATAGGAAAAAATGTGGTTTGAATATTTGTCTAAACAATATTTTAAGCAAAACTACAGTTCACACTAAACCAAATAACTCTTAAGTATCATCTTCCATAATTAACAAGAACACCTCACTATTAACCTCATAGATCTTTGTTCCATCTGCAGCAGCTTATATTTCCAATAAAAAGGCACATAACACTCACTGCAGCAACACTGGAGTGTCACAGGTGTGTGCTCTTTGCTTGACAAGGGTTTGAGGGATTTGATTTTTATTTGTGTCTCTGTCTGTTTTTGTGCGTACGTGTGTAAGAGTGTGTGTGTGTGTTTTAGATTATGTGTCCTTTGATGCCAACGTGTGTGTTTATGATCAGGTGTGACCCGGAAGAGTCCACGTACTCCACTGTCAGACCTTCAGGGAAGCAACGCCATCAATGACAAGTCCCCACGGTGAGTCTGTGCCGAGCAGCGTGTTTCTGACTCCTTCAGGAAGCGTCCGATCACTTCACAGATCAAGTTTCTCCTCTGTGAAGAAATAAATTCCTGCTCTCATCATTATTGTTAATGTGAAGTTCAATGCCAGGTTATCAGATTCATCAAATACCTCAGATATGCAGGGTCGGACCCACATGAGCTCACTCGAGGACACGTGTGTCGCCACTCCTGACAAAGTAATGCAGTCAGACGCAAATCACTTTCTATTCAAACAATGAATGTTATTCACTTCATTGAGGTACGATTTGCAAGTGTATCATTATTATTATTAGATTGGATTATTAATACACAGTCCATCCATTAAATCTCCTTTAATTCTGCACCAAATCTACCACATTTGTTTGGACATTGGTCTTGAACTATGGAAGAAACATGTAAATGGCTGATTTTTGACTAAATCCACATTATCTGAGCTACATATTGAAGGAAGCTGCAGGTCCGTAGCTCTATTTGTTGATGTGCAGTGGCCGAGAAAGAAACCACATTCAAATCTGACTGATTTTTATCATGTGGATCTGCCCTTTGTCGGATCCAGGCTGAAATTGAATGAGTTCTTTCTTGGCCCGTGTCCCATCCTTCCACCATCCTCATGAGAACAGACAAATAAATAAAACCGGCAAACAAACCAACAGACAGGGAAGAAAACAGAGATAATATGAAAGGTCAACGTTACTTTCATATTCATCTCCACAGTGTTTGTCCATGTGTTCTTTTCATGTTGTTATTATTATTAATACAAGTTAAATTGAATTTATTGAGCAAAAAGACAAGATAAAGAAAGATGATATTGATTGAAGCTGTGCTGAGTAGAATAAACTCATCTTGTGTTTTTATTAGCGAGAGAGAGAGAGCGCGATGGTGAATGACCTGCAACAACACTCTCCCGACACTTTGTTTTTAATCTTACATACAAACGACAATGAGATCTGGAAATAGTCTTGATTAACAAACCTCTTAATGCCTTCCTGTCACACACTGATGTGTTGAACCTCTGGGCACTGAGACGAACGCTGCATGCCTTTAAAGAGAAAAAAGAAAAACAGTGATGACTGTTCTCTGACCCCGAGCGTTGCTCCCACACCACCCCACTGAGACCCCGGTCCACCACCTCCTCTAATTAGCCGCGGACCACGAGATTAGCAGCCCACGACCACGACTGGTAGCACAGAACAACTCGTACAAGACGGCTTTTGTTACACAAGAGCTCGGTCTGGGGCTGTTAAAATCCCCTCTTAATGTGATTTGCAACCTCTGCCCTCCCGCTCTGTCTCTCTCTCCCGCTCGCACACACTCATGCACGCATCCTCCACACACTATGGGAGCACTAAAGCCCGAGCAGCTGCTTCCTCTGTGATGTAAAGGCAGAGCTATGCATCGGAGAGGAGTGCCCGGGGAGCGATAAATATGCAGTCCCTGCAGGGTGCGTGTCAGCTGGATGGAGGGGTGGACAGTGCAGTGCTTTATGGGAAACAGTCACTTTCAAAAGGCATATTGTGCGATCACCGTTGATTGAGATCGATGATCAACTGGGGAAAAATTCTGCCTTATATGGTCGCAGAGATACAACAGAAGATTCCTGCTTATTCTATCCGTACATGTCACATCAGAAATTATTTTCTGTTTATTCGTGCACAGAACTTCTCCAGAGTCTGACAACAATAGAGTATAAACGCAGAAATACATATTCTAGACTATTAGAGCTATGTGAATCTAATTTTTTATGCAGACAGGTCGTATTCAATTATATGTATGTACTACTCCTCTGGGACTGAGGAAACGTCCCCTGATAGTGATAATGAGAGTGGAGCAGTGAGTGTGGTGGAGAAGCTTCCTCCGAAGAGAGAGAGAGAGGAAATGTATTGTATGCGTCCACACTGATTTCAAATCCAACTCACGCTCTTAAGAGATTTAACCAAAGAAGAAAACCATGAAAAGATAAACCCACAGATCAACATCTATTATTTCAATATTCATCACTTTAAAATTGGAATTGGCTTCTCTGGTGCGTTTTGGCCCAAAAGGAATTTTGTTGGTAACATGCTAATTAGCGGAGAACCAGGCTGATTTCATAGGTTAGTTATAGAGCAAATGTACATTTGGCACTTTTAAATGATAAAACAAATATTTGCTCTGAAGCTGAACACAAAGAGCACAGAGATGCATGTGGTTTCATTTGAGTGCCAACACAGAAGTTGGCAAATATCTGTTTATTTACCCATCAAGCTGATCTTTAAAACCACAGTTATACATTTCAGCAGTGGAAAATTATTTTCAGCCCAGAAAGCTTAATCAAAAACCACTGAATCTGAAATCAACCTTCTCCCCTGTGCCCCTGTATTTTTATTTATTTCCATTTAACACACTCACTCGTCTCCCTTTTTGTTTTACTCTGGAATGATTCAATCTCCTGCTAATAACACAGGATGAGGCACATGACACATCTTAGCTCTGCTGTCCAGTTGTCATGTGCTGAGGTTTGTGATTCATTTTCTGAATCTATTTATGATAATGGAAAATACTTAGAATTATAACTTACCACTGCCGCAGCAGTGATTCTCTACAATAATGTGTTTTACTCGTTTGCTCCTCTGGGCTGAAAGGGCTCAGGTTGGTTCATGGTTTTTTACTGGATCCTGACCGCTGGTGTTTTTGTTATAGTTCTGGGCAGGTGGTTTGGTTTCACCTTGAGGCCGGAGGTTTAAACTCCCTGAGGCTTCAGCGAACTGTGTCTAATTCTACTCTCTACTATGAAAGAAAACACAGGGACTACTGCCCCTGCTGGTGACACAGAAACACGCCCTCTACAGAGATCAAATGCAGAATGCTGTTTGATGGAATTAAAAGATATTTATGGACCCTGGAAGTGTTTTAAAGTGTCTCCTTTATTGCTTTTTCTTTTCCTCTGCTTCCTCCTTTTAGACTCACGTAGCCAGTTTAGATTTAACTTTTAATTAATCTCTTGTATTGGTCTGTGTGTGTGTGTTTTGACTTGAAGGGGTTCTCCGGGCCTCGGCTGGAATGGACGTGTGGGTCGAAACAGCCGCTTATCGTCCAGCAGCTCCATCACAGACGAGGACGGCATCTTCGTCAACTCCGCCAGCAGCAAACTTCTGGAGAGAGCGCACGACATCCTCATGTCAGTAACAACACACAGTCACTGTCAGACCCTGTGGCCACTGTTTTAGAAAATGTACAGTTCTGCCCTCGTAGTAGTATTTATTTTAATTAAGACATTACCTTCTCAGATTATTTCAGCATCATTTTATTCCACAGCGTTTTAATTATTTTGCTCAGTGTGGCCTTCATGGCTTTGTGAAAACTAAAAAGACCTGAGTTTACTCTCAGCCATCACTGCTCCGAGGTGCTGTCGCTGACTCTGACCTCCCCACTGAGCGGAGCAAGTGAAGAGAGAATTGACCCACAGGGATGAATAAAGTTCAGCTTTATTGACAGATTCTGCTGCTCGTTGCTCAAAACAGACGAGACTGCAAGAATGACTGTGTGTGTTTTTGTTTTTTTTAACAAACAGGAGAAACAAAAACTACAAATCGAAGCCAGTTCTCCCGAAGGTACAGCACATGATTACTTTAAGTCATATTTTCTATCCTTATAAACTTACTTTATTATAAACTTCATTTTATATAAACTGATTAACTCATAAACTTCACATCTGCAGCATTTACTGAACGTCAAGTCTCTGAAGTACCTCAGCAACCTGACGCTTCACGACCGCATCACCAAGTCACTGCTTCACCTCCACAAGAAGAAGAAGCCGCCCAGTATCAGCGCACAGTTCCAGGTCAGAACACACACACACACACACACACACACACACACACAGGAAGCTGCAAAAATAACACGGTCATCCTGAGCTGGAGTGATGAATCCTCGTCCAGCTGTGAATGTGATAAAATCAAGGTGTGTCCTCCACAAACGACAGTGGGTGGAAACATTCATCCACTTCTCCGCCTGCCAACAACCTTCACTGTCCACTTTCTAATCTGATCCATGTAATTTCTCCTCCATGTGTGTGAACTCTATTACATAGTTCACACCCACACACACACACGCCCAAAAATTCTTACATTTATGACATCGTGTCTGGAAATTTGGGGAAATAAAGTTAATAAACGTCTCCCTGGTAGGATTTGATGAGAAACTTCTCCTCGGTTACAGACGCACCCTCCTGAATGTCCTCACTGATGTTGAGATGAGATCGTACAAAACAGCAAACTGAACAGATTTGTATATAGTCACATAAGTGCAATATCTATTCTGTGTAGTAACTAATAAATAACCACTGTTCTATTTTAGAGTATCTATTAGTCTTGCATTTATTGTTGGTTTTGTAGATTTTTAGCTCTTTTCTGAATAGTTTCTATTTTATTCTATTTCCATTTAGGTTCTCTGTTTGTTTGAGCACATATTTTCTTTTAGGATTTTCTTTTATAACACCATTTCTAATAAACTTCATTCAACATTCACACTTATTTACAGTGGTGGAGGAAGTACTCAAACATTTTAATGAAGTAAAAGTATAGATAAATGGATAAAATGTTCTCAAGTAAAAGTAAAATAGTGAAGTATATGTACTTTGTTACATCCATTCAGTTCTTAAGGTCACGTACTTCAGTCAGAAGAACGACCATTGCTCTTTCCTTTCATTCCTTTTCCTTTTCTTATTCTTTCCTTCCCTTTTTTCCTTTGCTTTCTTTACGTGCCGCTCCTCTCCTTTTCCTTCCTTTCCTTCCTTTCACTCCCGGTGTGTTTTGTGGTGAAAGTGTGCGTTGTGTTGTGGCTGGTGGAGACAAGTGGTGAGGCCCCTCTGGCGGGCGGCCCCTAGCACCAGTGTGTGGATGACTTCACTTCCCACATCCTGTGTTGCGCTGATTGCTTTAATCTTCCACAGAGGGGGAGGAGACTGAATTCCTCCTGCCACTGAATTATCACACACACATGCTGACACACATGTGCACATGTTTACACACAGACACAATAACCGGGCAATGGAAAGAGCTACACACGTTCTCCTTTTTTTTCTCTACAGATCCACATGCTTACGTAGACATATTGTTGGTGTTTATGGCCCCAGACTGTGACTTTAATCTCGCAGCAGAGAGTTTTACTGATGGACCGAAACTCTGATAAAACCATCTGCCTGTAACACAGCTGCGGAGTCGGGTTGCGTTCGCTTGTCATTTTCTGACTTTGTGTTACATTTGTCGTCTTGTTTTTGTGTCTCGTTCCACAGGCCTCTCTCAATAAGCTAATGGAGACTCTGGGTCAGTCTGAGCCTTATTTTGTCAAGTGCATCCGCTCCAATGCTGAGAAGGTACCGTGCTCCCGCTCCACACCGCACTCACTCTGTTTTGCTTTAGTTTTCAAAGCATTTTTCATTTCCTTTGAAGTTTGAGCTTTTTTTAAATTTAAAGCTGTTCGTCATTTCCCCCCCATCGTCTCTCCGCTGCCTGTCGCTCTGCCTCTTTCTGTCATTTTCTCTCCATCCTCGATTTTCTTTTTCTTTTCCCCTCTGGCTTTGCTTTATCTTTCTCAGCTGCCCTTGCGGTTCAACGACAACCTGGTGCTGAGGCAGCTGCGGTACACGGGCATGTTGGAGACTGTGCGCATCCGGCAGTCAGGCTACAACATCAAGTACAGCTTCAAGGTAACGTATATATTTACACCCTGTAGATGCTCCCTGAACATCCATTCATCCATTATCTGTCTCACGGCTTCTCCTTTGAGGGAGCCAGAGGTGAAGAGGTGCATCATGGACAGAACGATAGAGTCGACATTCACACTCACACCTACCATCGGTTTAGAGTTTCCATCTTTGCTATCTTTTTATATTTAAAACAGTAAATCACCAAAGAAGGAGCAAGCAAGTGATTAAAAGTAAATAAAAACAGAATTTGTTCCCGTTTTTCACGTAGTTATCAAATCAGCTAGATTTACTCGACAGCTGTATCTAAACACAATTTTCAGATTGTTTTTGATTAGATTGTTTTTTCATTTAGTACATTTGAAGGGTTTGGAAAGGGATTTTTTAAAACACTACATCCAATAAAAAATAGACCCTTGATTCCTTGTGAACGCCCACATTTTAAACTTCCACCAGTTTACTACTTTTTTGTCAAAGTGTTGCCTCTAAACCTCGACATGACAAAACTCCTCCAGAGCCACAAAAAACCTCATAAATCACATTTCATGTTCTGAGCCGTGAACTGACTGTATTTGTTTCCTGATATTTAAAACAGACCCACTTCACTCACTGTTTTTGTGGGGATATGATATTTCCCAGGAGGATAACACTCAAAAAAGCCGAACGGTGAAAAGAGTTGAACATTTTCCCTCGGTGAAGTTGTGTCCAGGCCAAAGCGCTGACGCACCGATCGCTCTCACGTCCCAAAATGTAAAACTCACTCAGGTTTCCATGTGAACGGATGTCAAATCATGGAAACACATCACTGATGTTGTTTGACTCAGGATTCAGAGAGAATTACAGCCATCTTAATCACACTAGCTCTCAAAGGACGTGATTCCAACCAGGGCCGTAGCCAGGGTTTAGAAATTAGTGAGGTCCGGAATTGTTTCTTTCAATGGAGCTTATGCTTTTAAAGACGAGCAAAGTTTAAACCAAAATGACACCTACAAACACACAAACTCAATATCTATAATTAAATACATACAGAGGGTCTTGTTGGAAAAAATACTTTTGTTAATGCTGCAGTTTGTTTACTCTCACTCCTGTGTGTGTGTGTGTGTGTGTGTGTGTGTGTGTGTGTGTGTGTGTGTGTGTGTGTGTGTGTGTGTGTGTGTGTGTGTGTGTGTGT